GCAGGTGCAGCACCAGCAGGAGCAGCAGCAGAAGCAGCAGCAGGAGCAGCAGGAGCAGCAGGAGCAGCAGCAGGAGCAGCAGCAGGAGCAGCAGCAGAAGCAGCAGCAGCTCTGCCAAGCAGCCGCGAGGAGCTCCGAAGAGGTGCTGCCTCCCTTTGCGAGCTGCGGGGGGCCTGAGCAGCAGCTGCAGCAGCAGCAGCAGAAGAATCCGCCTGCGGAGTCTCACCCAGTTGCAGCCTTCTGCTTCTGCTGCTGCTGTTGCTGTTGCTGTTGCTGCTGGAAAGGCCGGTGCTGCTGCTCTTCAGCAACGCTGGAGGCGAGGCTGAGTCACTTGCATCTTGCTGCTGCTGCTGCTGCTGCAGCAGCTCCTGCTGCTGCTGCAGCTGCTGCTGCTGCTGCTGCAACTGTTGCAGCTGCTGCTGCAGCCGGTGGTGGTGGTGGTGGTGGTGATGTTGCTGCTGCTGCGTTGCTGCGTCTGCGTTGAAGGCTGCAGCAAATCCTTCCCTTGGTGCAGCAGCAGCACTGCGGTGGCGCTGCAGCTGCAGCAGCAAGTTGCTGCTGCGAGGAGACGGCAAGGGGCCCGCAGAGACACTTCGAGGTGCTGTGGGCGCAGACCCCAGGCTGCTGCTGCTGCTGCTGCTGCTGCCTTTGGCGTTATGAGTGTTCAGCTTGGCCACAAGTTCTGCTGCTGCTGTTGCTGCTGCTTCTTTTGCTGGTGCGGTCGTTGTTCCTGCTGCTGCTGCTTCTGCTGCTGCTGCTGCTGCTGCTGCTGGTTCTAGGCCAGACTCGTTGAAAGCTCCGGGTCGGTTGCTGTCGGAAAATGCTGTCTGCTGCTGCTGCTGTTGCTGCAGTTGCTGCAACTGCCTTAGCTGCTGCTGCTGCTGCTCCAGCTGTTGCTGCTGCTGCAGCAGCTGCTCCAGCCGCTGCCCCTCCAGCGTCTGCTGCACTTTCTCTTGCTGCAGGGGTAAGACACCATCATAACTAAACCGCCGCTTCTCCTGTTGCTGCTGCTGCTGCAGCTGTAGTTGCTGCAGCTGCTGCAGCTGCTGCTGCAGCTGCTGCTGCTGCTGCCACGTCTGCTGCGCAGGAGCCGCCGAGGGAGGCAGCATCTCGCAAGCCCTGTGTTGTGGCTGCTGCTGCTGCTGCTGCTGCAGATGCTGCTGCAGAGCTTGATGTTGCAGTTCCTGCTGCTGCTGGCTCAGCTGTTGCTGCTGCAGCTCTTCTAGCTGAAGTTGCTGGGAAAATCCCCGCAACAGCTGCTGCTGATGCTGCTGCTGCTGCACTTGCTGCTGCAGTGAATGCGGGGGCTGCTGCTGCAGCCACTGAGGTTCTTGCTGCTGCGGCTGCTGCTGCTGCTGCTGCTGCTGAGGCATCTGCAGCACCTCCTGACCAGGTGCTGTGTAGCGATGAGGCGGCAGCGCCGTTTGCTGCCATTGCTGTTGCTGCTGCTGCTGCTGCTGCTGCTGCTGCAGCTGTTCCTGTAGCTGCTGCAGCTGCTGCTGGTTCTCAATCAGGCGAGGCAGCAAAATGTTTTGGGGTTGGGTTTGGGTGTGAAAGTGGGCCGGGTCAAGCAGCAGCGGTTCGTGCTGCTGCTGTTGGTGCAATTCCGGTTGTCGTTGCTGCTGCTGCTGCTGCTGCTGCTGCTGCTGCTGCTGCTGCTGCTGCTGCTGCTGCTGCTGCTGCTGCTGCTGCTGCTGCTGCTGCTGCTGCTGCTGCTGCTGCTGCTGCTGCTGCTGCTGCTGCTGCTGCTGCTGCTGCTGCTGCTGCTGCTGCTGCTGCTGCTGCTGCTGCAACTGGCATTCCAGAACTTGGGTTCCAAGCAGCTGCTGCTGG